GTGCGTGCGTTGTGCCAGATGGTGGTCGACCAGTGCGAGTGTCAGCCGAGGACTCGCAAGAAGGCCAACCACAACGTCGATGAGTGGGTCGAGATCCTGGGCGAAACTGAACAATCCGAAGGATCGATATCCAGGGAGAAGACAGCGGAATTCCCGATGGATAAGGCTCGCAAGCTACATGAGCGCTTGAAACACGCATCCTAGAAGCAGGTGGAGCATGACCTTGGCGACGTGCTGGAGGACGATCTCCTAAAGGCGTACCAGCTGGTCGTCGCAGGATGCAGCAAGTGCCGTCGAGCTAGTTTCGACACTGAGAAGATCCCGAAAGGCAAGGGCAGCGAGAAAGGAAAAGGCAAGTCACGGAGTGTGTGTGTGTGTGCAGAGTTGACCCAGACGAATGTATACATCCAGCGGGTCAGCTCACGACTGTTGGCACCAACCAGTACAACGAGAAGGTGCGCTGCCGCCTGTGTGACACAATGCTCGTGGATCGGGACCCGAAGTGGTGGTCCGAAGAGAAGGAGCTTCGCGCAGAGGTCAAGGCGATCCATCTAGAGAAGCAGAAGCGGGAACTCTTGAGTCGGTCGACGGCCGGATGATCCTCGACGGGATAAGCTACTACATAACACACTCGCTCAAGTTATCGTGAGTGAGCGGCACCTCCATATTTACATATATCTTGTTTGTTGTTGAACTGAGCCAACGTCGGCTAGTAGGCAAACTTAGTCCGAGAAAATAATATGAGTGTGAATTGTGGGGGGGTGAAGACCCGCTTTCCCCTGTTTCACTGGACTGACATGCTGACCTACAGCGCCGGCGCTTGGGCCCAAGTAAAATGGGCGCCTACCCTCCAGAGTAGCAGCGGGATATTGGCTGCGATAGCAGTGCGTCGGTCGTTTCGATCGAGCTCTCCGAGCTAGATCCCACCCCGTCACACTGAGGCTGATCGAGGGAGGGAGCACGAGCGAGAACGAGGGGCGTCCACCTTTCGTGTCCCTTCCATGGTCCCCTGAGGTGCACCTTTCCTTCCCCCCCTGTACCGCACCCCAAATAATTGCGCAAAGACCAAGGCATCAAACATGATCTGGGCATCGGAACGTTTCTGTACCGGGCGGGTGCGGCCGGTTCCGAGCCCTGGGACCATCACACATCGATGGGGCTTGAACAATGCAACAGACAGACGGTGTCTAGGGATGTCTCAAGCTTATTTGTTTGTTCCGTGGCGTCGGATCTCAAGGTCAGACATGGGCTTTCGGAGATGGGCTTTCGGAGCTCCGTCGCGGAACTCCCACGCCGCCCGTGAGGCCGAGGCGTGGTTCAGCATGTCGCCATCGTCGTTGACTTCCGATGAGATCTGCGCTGGACCTCCCTGGCGACGCCGATCATTTTCCACGTTGCTGACCCGTGCCGCCTTGTGGGCCCTCGTAGGCACCCCGTTCGCTGAGCACAGCTTCGCCACATAGCCTACACCGCATAGCTGATACGCCATAGCTTGCACATCATAGCCTACACCGTATAGCCTTCTCCTCCAGCTCACAACACACATATTATACGACGCAGATTGCACCACACAACTTGCACCGCATACGTATTCTTCATCTCCACAGCTCACACAACATGGCTCACACGACATAACTTGCACCACATGGCTCACATCGCGCAGCTTCCGCGTCCACAGTGCATCAGCCCACTGTCTGAGGTCCACGCTGGCTAGCGGGAATCTCTGGCGCCGCCCCCTGGCGCGCGCCGCTCGCCAAGGACGGGGGCCCAGCGCCGACCCAAGAGGTCCGCGCGGAACCTGGACACCTCATGCCAACTCCCCAGAAACAATGCTTGCAACTAAGGTAGGAGCTCGACCACAAGAAACCTTCCACAAGAAACCCATTCCTGAGACCCCAGGACGTCCATTGATATTTGGTGTGGAAACGTCACGCTCTCCATCGCAAAACCATCGAAGCCAAAGAAACTCAGGGCACCCTGGAGGCAATTGAGGTGTTTCTTGGCATGGGTTTCCACTGTAGGGGTTGAAACTTCGGCTTCTCAAGCCAATTTTGAGGATGAAAAGCGCCATAAACATAAACTTTTGGCGCTCCGCGCGGATTTCTTGGATCCGCGCTGGGTCGCCCTCCCTAACGCGCGGAGCGCGCCAGGGGCGGCGCTGGAGGCGCCGCCAGGGGGGGCCCAGGCGCCGATCCAAGAAATCCGCGCGGAGTGCCAAAAGTTGATGTTTATGGCGCTTCTCTTCCTCAAGATTGGCTTGAGAGGCCGAAGTTACAACCCCTACAGTGGAAACCCATGCCAAGAACCCAACAGTTTGCGCTTGTTGCGTTTCTTCTTCGTCTTCTTTTTCTTCTTCTGCTTTCTTCTTCGGAAGCTGGGGCGGGCTCGCCGAAGATTCTCCACGCTGCCGCCCTGTGCCGCCTCGCGGGCGCTCTCTTGTCGTTGCACGGGCCTTGCAGACGTGCTGCAGCGGATTTCTGCTTGCCCGAAGCGGCGAGCAAAAGACGAACTTAATTTCACGTGGATTCGTTTTAAACCTTCATTCCTGGCAAAACAAAGAACCGCGCGGAATTCACCTCGAAATCCGGAACGAAATTCGCCAGGACAATCGGGGCCCATCCCATCGTTTTCCGAACGAAACCCGCACTGCGATGTGGGCGCCATGACTCTCGGGCGCCCCGCGCGCTGGGAGGCGGGTTCGCCGAGGTGGCGCCCCTCTGCTGCCCGCGCCGCCTCGTGGGCGCTCGAGGGCGCTCCCCGCGCGCCGGGCGGGCCCGCCGAGCCTGTGCCAACGCATGTCTTGTTTGCGGCCCGCGAGATTGTTCGGCGGCGGGCGAAAGGGGGGGGAAGTGAGAAGGAGAAGGGGCGAAGGAGCGGGACGATGTATCGCCGATGCGGCGCGATCCGCCGACCCCATCTACCCCGACCCCATCTGGGAGGCAAGGCGGGGGGGCTTCTCAGAAGCCCTCGCGCCTTCTGAACATTTTTGTTCGTGGTCTTCGGGGAAGTGTTCCGTTGCCCGCGCAATTTGGGGAGAAGGCGGGGGAAAGGAAGGACGGAAGCCACCTCGGGGACGCACCGACCTGGGTCGATGCAAGCCCTGGTCAATCAGGCCTTGCAGGATCCTGCAGGATACTGCAGGATCCTGCGTTCAGGCCCAGGGTCAGTGCTCCACTGGCCCTGCAGGATCCTGCAAGATCTGGCGAGCGCTGGGGCTGGCCCCCGTTTGCATTGACCCCCGTCTCTTGAGCCTCGAACGCCAGCAGGAAGCCAGAATCCGGTCAAGAGAACCCGCCCTCTGACCGGCCCTGCTGTCGCCGCCTCTCTGGGTGCGGTGCGTCCCCCGCGGACCCGCCCTCGGGGTGAGGCCGCGTCTGCTGGACGCTCATGTCCAATCAAGCGACCGATTAGCCTGGATTGAAGACGGGGGAAAGCTGAGGGGAATTACAGCGCGACGAACTCACGAAATATCTCTGAAGGCCCAGTCCTCCGACCTCATTCCCTACCTAGGCTCTGCCTAGAAGGGTTCTTACTCTCTTAGCTTAAAGGGGCCGGGCAGTGTAAAGCGCCCCGGGTGGTTCCCCCAGTCCCCGCCCAGCGGTTCCCCCCAGTCCCCTGGGAGCTTTAGCTTTAGCTTTAGCTTAGCTTTAGCTTAGCTGTAGCTTAGCGTTAGCTTAGCGTTTCGCTTAGCTTTTCGCTTAGCGTTTAGCTTAGCTTTAGCTTAGCTTTAGCTTAGCTGTAGCTTAGCTTCAGCTTATATTTAGCTTAGCTTTAGCTTAGCTGTAGCGTAGCCTTAGCTTAGCTGTTGCTCAGCTTTAGCTCAGCTTTAGCTTAGCTTTAGCTTAGCGTTAGCTTAGCTTTAGCTTAGCGTTAGCTTAGCTTTAGCTTAGCTTTAGCTTAACTTTAGCTTAGCTGTGGCTTAGCTTTAGCTTAGCTTTAGCTTTAGCGTAGCGTTACTGTTACTACTAATGCTGCTTTCCTAGGGGTTTCAACTCCTAGGTAGGGTCGCACTAGGATACATTTCCCTACCTAGGCTCTGCCTAGAAGGGTTCTTACTCTCTAGCTTCAAGGGGCCGGGCAGTGTAAAGCGCCCCGGGTGGTTCCCCCAGTCCCCTGGGAGCGGTTCCCCCCAGTCCCCTGGGAGCTTTAGCTTTAGCTTTAGCTTTAGCTTAGCTTTAGCTTAGCTGTAGCTTAGCTTTAGCTTAGCGTGTCGCTTAGCTTTTCGCTTAGCGTTTAGCTTAGCGTTAGCTTAGCTTGAGCTTAGCTGTATCTTAGCTTTAGCTTAGCTTTAGCTTAGCTTTGGCTTAGATTTAGCTTAGCTTTAGCTGAGCTGTAGCTTAGCTTTAGCTCAGCTTTAGCTCAGCTTTAGCTTGGCTTTAGCTTAGATTTAGCTTAGCTTTAGCTTAGCTTTAGCTTAGCTTTAGCTTAGATTTAGCTCAGCTGTGGCTTAGCTTTAGCTTAGCTTCAGCTTAGCTTTAGCTTAGCTTTAGCTTAGCGTTACTGTTACTACTAATGCTGCTTTCCTAGGGGTTCCAACTCCTAGGTAGGGTCGCACTGGGATAATTTTTTCAGGACGTCGGCCCCCAGAAGGCTCGACTCGACCCGTTCCCTGAGGGCTTCACCCTGAATCGTTTCGAGGTTTTGGCAATTTTTAGCCTCTGGGGACCCTCGCCAAGCCTCGGGAACATCCAACGCGACTCGGGTCGAAAAACCGGCCCTGGGGAAGTGGTCTGGACCTCCAGGGCCCACGCACCGAAAAAATGTGGAGCGGCCGGATGCCTGGGTTGCCAGCCCCAGGGCCCGGCAAGGGGCCCCAGAAGCCGAAAGCAGAATAACACCCACCCGTGGTGACTTGGGCATGGCCATCGAGGTAGTCTGCGGAGTGCCCAGTGCACCTGTTTCTTCGTTCGGCGTCATCGTCGCTGTCGTCATGCGTCGTGCGAAATCCAGTGCTCCTGTGTCTTCTTCGAGATGTAATACCTGTATTCGCACCTCCTCGCCTCGTGGACCCGCCCGAAGACGGCGGGCGCCGCGAGCTGCGTGGCCGGCGCCGCCAGGAGCCAGACCTCGGACCCCTCCAGCTCCCGCCGCAGCCCATCTCGGGGGGGGGGGCTATAATCGACGCCAGGCTGGGGGCAACAATCCGGACGAGGATACATCGGGGACCTCTGAGATCCGTCGGCCCTGGAGAATACACGGGGCGCAGAGGCCTTCTCAGAGTCGGGCGTTGCTAGAAGTGCCCCTGGCCCAAGGTGCCCCAGGGATTTCCAGGGAGGCCCCCACGGCCTCAAGAACACCCCTCGCGATGCCCAGAGGGCCCCAGGGGGTTCCAAATCGAGTGAAAATCCGGGGGCACCTTGAGCCAAGGACACCTTTAGCAACCCCCAACCTCGCCATCGCTTGGACGTCAATTCCCCGTGCATTTTCGGCTTCGTGCGCGTATGCTTTATAAGCTGATCCAATATGCTCGATGGCCCTCGTCGAATAAACTGCACACGTCCGAGCGATACCAAGCAACAGGGCGCTCGGGAATGATCTGAGAGCGGACCAGAACGCTCCGGAACAGATCTGTCCTCGTCCCAGCCCCCGCCCGAGGGGCGGCGCGGAGAGGGGGGGCACCGCAGAAGGACAAGCTGCACCGACAGCAGCTTTCGCGGGTCTGCGCGGCGTAGTCTTGCACCTGCGCTGGACCCCCTCCCTGGCGCGCGGAGCGCGCCAGGGGCGGCGCTGGAGGCACCGCCAGGGAGGCCCAGCGCAGATCCAAGAAATCCGCGGGCCGTCAGCACATGATGTCTGTGCAATTTGTTCCTCCAGGGCAGCAACTAGGCTCGGCCAGGCTGAACTCGGTCAGGCTGACCTCGGCCAGCTGACCTCGGTCAGGCGGAACACCAGCCAGGCTGAATTCGGCCCGGCAGAGTTCAGCTGGCCGGGTTCAGCCTGGCCGAATTCGGCTGGCCGAATCCTTCCCTTGTCGTGGGGGGGTTCTGATGCACCGCGGTCAGACCATATATTGCTTCCCTCAGAAACCCGTGCCAGACAATGCAACATCTTGTCCGCGCTGGCCGCAGTACTCGAATGCGTTTCAAACAATCGTCCGCGGCTGCTCTGATGCAGCCTGACATGCGGCGGGGCTTCAAGTAGGCGGCGCGCTCGGGGGAGAAGTGACAAGGGGCGGACCTTTTCACAAGGCTAAGAAGTTTCCTGTCCTTCTGACAGGTGTTCTAAGCCTCCCCCGAAGACGCAAAAAAAACCTCAGAAGGCGCGACGGCTTCTGACAGGTCCCGCCGCCTTCTGAGAAGGCCTTCGCCTTCTCATTTCCCCCCCCTCGCTCGCCGCCAAATGATCCAGGCTGGCTGTGTCACGGACTACCCCTTGTCGAGAAGGAGGAGGAGGAGGAGGAGGAGGAGGAGGAGAAGGAAGAGGAAGGAGGAAAAGGAGGAGGAGGACGGGACGACCTTGCGGCAGAACGTCAGCTTCAGGCAGCAGCTATCGCCTGGATGCCTCCTCCTTGGCCTGGATACGCGCTGCCAGCGCTCGCAGTCGGTCAGAATCGACCAAGCGAGACGACCCAGCAGCGAGGGGGCCAGGAGGGGCAAGAAGCACCGACTTCGACGGCGCTCTAGCAGGCGCCAGCAAATCATCACTCTCAGGATTCTTTCTGTAATGAGGGTGGAGGCCAGACTGAAGTCTTGTGAGCGCCTGCTCTCCCGCAGAGCTCAGCTTCTTGAGACAGGTCTGGCCAAGCAAGAAGCATCGCCTGCTGGTGTATGCTCCGCAGGCAAACCAGAAAAAACAGCGGTCGTTGGGTTTTGTGCAGGATAGCAACACCCAACTTGTGTTGTCTCTCGGTCTCTGCACCCTGGGGGCGCCTCAGGGCCGTGGACAAACCAGCGCAACCATTAATCGGGCGGGACTCGCCCTCAAAAGAAATCCTGAAAGATTTCTTACATCTGAAAGCGGGTCGATCACCACTGAGCTCCTCCCAATCATGCCAATCAGGCGGGGGGGGGGGGAACTCTAGGCAACCTCTTCTCCCACGGGGGTCTCTCAGAGTTCAGCCTAGGAAACAGAGAGAGCACCTTCCCAAACCTCAGCGCACGCGCACGGAGGTCCTGCACCTGCCTATCCAGCCTCTCCAGATCAGCAGGTGCAGGCTGCGAGAGGGCGTGCTTGGCCAGGCGATCGGCGTCCTGGTTAGCGAGCGCTATTCGCTTCTGGTCTGGCGGGAGGGCCTGTATGATAGCATCCGACCGATGGGCGGGCGTATGCTGGGCCTCCCCCAGGGCATCAAATTCAAGAGATTGTTGCGCAGCACGACGGAAGCCAGCAAACATCTCCCGCGGGCAGAGCTGCGCCTCATCCGAGAGAGTATGCAGACGCACGGCTCCTTTGCAATCGCTGAAAGGGGAACTCATGCCCGAGCTAAGAGCACACGCAGTGGCCAGGCCCAAGTTTTCGGCCGCCTGGGGCGTTTGGTGCAACACAGGCCACACAGTGGCCATGAAACGGGTCCGAACCTGGTAAGCGTCCTCTGGCTCTAAATAAACCCCCGCGAAAGCAGCGCGGCTGAGTTCATAAAATGGGCACTGGGTGGCCGAGCCATCGGCCACCAAGTCGCAGCTCTCACTCCGTTCTACCAGCTCCTCGAGCGACAACGGCTGCCCATTCGAGGGGGTCCGACGCCACCGAGGGGGGGAAGGAGTCATCATCGGGCTGAACCATTACCAATCGAAACCAACACAATCTCTCTGCGGGCTGGCAATTACGGGCAGCCTCGATCAGACTAGGCTCAACGGCTTCGCTGCGGGCCGTTGCAACCCCTGGATCATCGCATAACCACTGACGGTGCAAAATAGAATCAGGTTGGCCGCACTTGGGACAAAGGCCGTCTGAAAAGTCGCCTGACTCTTTCAAGCGGCCCGCCGTCCAGCAGCCATTTGAAGGAGAAAAAAAAGGAGCAGGTCCAATACTTAGCTCGCGGCGGGGTTCGCTTCGAGCGGAGGAGGGAGCGGAGGGGGTCCACACACGCGCACGCACACCATCAAACGAGGGGAGACTCGCCGCGAATCGCCTCTCGTGGGATCTCTGAACTCCTGACTGCAAAAGGCTAGCAAACATGGCCGGGCTGTGGTATAACAGATCAACAACATTGCCCCCATCATCTTGCCACCTACTAAAACTAAGTGCCTTCCAGCCTATACGGTCTAAACTCAGAAGCATTCGATGACGTGGTCCCCGAGAATTCCTCCACTCAGCTGGTCCCAGACGTAACTCCTGAGCCTCGAGGTTCCTCCATAGCCTGATGTGATCCCTGAAAGGGAAAGGGCTGGTGGGCGGCGTCGTCAGACTTCTCCACAAACTGGTCGACCATTGTCTGGCAGGTGCCGTCGCCTGAAGCCATGCAGGATCTCCATGAATACAAACCTTTGCCGTGAGCGACGCACCTCTATGCGCTGGCAAAAGACCTGAGAGCAGCACGCTCCTGAGACTGTTGAGTCCTGATCTGGCATTCCCAAGGCCATGGGCCCGTAGCCCGCAGCAGGCCTGACCCCACATATGTAAATCTTGCTCATGCGAGATCGGTCCCTGGGCAACTGCTTTCGGAAGTATCGGGTAAATCCATGACGGGTCCCCTTATCTTTGAAACGAGCCTTCCTTTTTGTGCGCCCTCCTTTGCATGCCCGACGCTGTCCTGGGGCTACGTCGCAGCCCAGCGAAATGGCCGAGTTGCAGGCGAGCGACGGGCAGTAGCGGGAAAGCTTCTTGGCCAAAAGGGCAGCCACGCGCTGAGAAGATGCAAAAGTCGATGCCTTGTCAGCAGCTAGTTGCACTCACAGCCGATATTGGAAGATATACTTCATATCATCGGCCGCATTAGCCAGATCCTGAATGATTTTTTCTTCCTCCCCAAACGTGAGGATAGTATCATCATCAATGTAACAGCCCAGGGATACTTGTGGGTTCCGTATAGCAAACTGATCAGCCTCGAACAGCGTGTAAACCTTAACAAGCGCATCATTATACATATCTCCAGCTGCTAATCCCGACTCCGCAAAGAGGGGAAGAGGACTGTGGTGGACTCCCAGTCTCAGTATCCTCGGACTCCTCCAGAGGTTATACAGGGTCTTGACGAGCACCCTCGGGATCCCCCAGTACTCAGCACGCGCACGTAGCCAGGATAACCTAAACTATTCATAGTACTTAGTTCCATCCCAGATGCAACCAGCAGTGACCTTGCCCTGGGACTGGGCTTCTTCAGCCAACATGCTCTGCTGCCACACCGCTGCTTCCGAAGACTGCCCCTTCCCCGAAGGACCAGTAGGCCCTATGTGACCGAAACAGGAAATCATCAACTTCAGGCCGTCTCAGCCTTTCCCAAATGCGAACTGGTGCGGCAAGGGGCAGTATGGGCCGAAGACCGCCTTTCGGCTTCTCGAGAAGCGGCAGCAGCATCCACAGCAACTGCATCGGGAACAGGCCGAGGCGCTCGACCGCCTCAAACAAAAGAGACATCACCTCCAGGCCAGCATCGCTGAGGAGGATGAAAAGGCGCACGTGCAGGCCGTCAAGTGACTGGGCCGTGTGAACACTGAAAAACCTCGATGCCAACAGAATATGATCAGGACCGGTTCGAGGGAAACAGCTTCTGTAAGGTATCCACGCCTCTGGGGGCCTTGTAGCCTCCAAGGTGAGCAGCCTCAGCCTCTAGGAGCTTAACAGGGTCCGCCGAGTAGATCCCTGGGGCCACTTGAGTAACTGTGGGTTGCCACTTCTTATGGAGCTTGGTGAACCTGCGCATCAGCCTCGCTGAGCCTGCAAGAGCCTTCTGTTGCCATTCATCCCAAGACTGTGGGAGGAGCTTCTCCCCTTTGTCATTGGCATCCAAGAGGTCCTCCTGAACCGTGTCCAGAACATACTCAGCTCTATCGCGCCACTCCTGCATATGGGGATGGCTTAAACTCCACTCAGCCGCGAGGGCTCTCATTTCCTTTAAGGACGCATCCAGCCTGATGTTGGGGCCTTCCCCAGGACAGGAGTGCCGCAACGAAACCTGGAGGATCAAGGT